ACATTATACTATTTACTTCTAAAAGAGAAACAAAGAACACTTTTATCCATGAATACAAGGTTAAGTGTTGATTCTTGTTTGTATTAATAAACATTTTATTTATTCCTAAAAATATCTTAAATTTCTGTCATTAAAGTTTCATTTTTTTCTTTTGGTTTATAAATATATCCAAACTGTCACTTACTTGTTATTATGTACACATATTGGTACATGTGAACACTTAAAAAAACAAAACAATTACTGTTAAATATAGAAACTTTCTTTGCGAATATAAAGAGTCGCCAGCCCCCCCTGTGGCACAGCGGTATGTCTGCGGACTTACAACGCTAGAAACCGGGTTTCGATACCAGTGGCGGGCAGAGCACAGATAGCCCTTGTGTAGCTTTGTGCATAATTATAAACAAACAAACAAACAAACAAGAGTTGCCATACATAAATAGCAATGAGACTTGACTTTCCTGTCTCGAAGCCCCCCAGTGGCTCACCGGTAAGTCCGAAAGCTTATAACAGTAAAATCCAAGTTTCGATATCTTTGGTTGGCAGAGTAAAGACAGTCAATTGTGTAGCTCTGTGTTTAAAACCAAATCCAAAACAAAAACAAACTATATACCACAACTAATACAGAAGAGTATTTTGGTCGTCACACATTTTCCTCGTCTTATGTGGCTCAGTAACTCATACAGCCCTTTCAGCCGTGGGAGCGTTATAATGTAACGGTCAATCCCATTATTCATTGGTAAAAGAGAAGCTTAAGAGCTGACGGTGGGTGGTGATAACTAACTGCCTTCCCTCTAATTCTTCACTGCTGAAGTAGGAACGGCTCGTGTAGCTTTGCACGAAATTCAAAACAAGCTGTGTTAATAATAATGATGGTCGATGAATTGGAATTAAAATTGATGAATTTCTACCTTTAATTTTAAGGATAAACCTATTCTCAAAGTTAAGTGAACTTTTTTAAGGCCTCCAGTGGCACAGCGATATGTCTATGGAATTATACCCGTGGTGGGCAGAGCACAGATAGCCCATCGTGTAACTTTGTGCTTAACAATAAACAAACAAACAAAATTGTTATAGGCTGCAGAAAATTTGTTCTTTGATTATGATTTTTTGATAAGAGGTAATAAAGTAACAGGCTTCAAATTCACGGAGCTGGGTGCTGTTTGCAGATAAATGAACACAACCCAAACCTTTCAAAAAGTGTAAAATAATGTTTTCTTCTTTTTACTGCTCCAGCATGTAAAATACTGGTAAACTGTTTCTGTTTTTGTAGAAGAAATTCAGTAGATTAATTTATTATAAAACTTAAAATATTTCAATTTGATTTAGTTGTTCGATTAATTAGACAGTTGGCTTTTAAATGATTCTCAAAGATATGTTATGCTCAATGGCTAAAAAATCAGTGTAAAGGGCATAAAAATGATGCACTGTACACAGCTGTAATTTTTGAATCATCAATAGCACTATGCAATATAGCACACTTTGTTTTATTGTAGTTAAGCACAAAGCTACACAATGAGCTACCTGTGTTGTGCCAACCACGGGTATTGAAACCCGGTTTTTAGCGTTATTAGCCCACAGACTTACGGCTTAGCCGCTAGGGGGCAGTGTACTTTGATGTAAAACATTTTGCACTTTGTGGCACCTAACTTCGATATCTTAGTGCAATATCAACTGATTTCTCATTCACTTTTGGCGACATCTTAGGTGCCCCTTTTAATTGTTAAAACGTTACACAACTAGTGCCACCTGTCATCTACCTTGAAAGTTACTATTCTGCGTAAAACAACGAAAGGTGTACATCACAACGTGCTTCACCACCTAACTTTAACCCTCGTTATTGTGGCATAGTTTGGCCTGATAGCTAGAGCGCTCGACTCACAATCTTCGGGTCACGAACATACTAAAAAGAAATCCAAGAGCTGGTGGTGAGAATTGTTGACTCTCTGGATTCCCTGTAGTGTATCATTTCAAAATTAGGGACGACCAGTGCATATAGTCCTCGAGTGGTTTTGTGCGAAAATTTAAACAGACAAAGTTAAAATTGTTCAAGTTTTCTAAATCCATATTCAACATATCTTTTTGATTGAAACGCAGTGTAAGAGGAAACATAGTATACCGTATTTTGAATTGTTGCTTAATTTTCTGCACACAGATATATATATATATACTCCAAAATACACACACAAACGATACATCGAAAATCCAAAGTATTCCGTTAATAAGTTATCCACTGACACTTACAATTTTTTACATTTTGGTTTTGAGCCTTGAATTGATGCTTGTCCTTGAATCTACCTTAATAAATATATATACAAAAAAAACCATTTCTTTTTCCGTCCTTTACATGCAGTAATTTTAAAAGACCTTGATCTAGTTAATAATGAAATTAGGTATATTAAATCATTATAATATTTTGAAACCTTGAATAAATTTTCTCACCGTTAAATTGAAATGTACAAAGCTTGTCTCTCCTCATACTGATAGATTGGTGTCACGTAGAAATGATTAATTTTTTTTTCATTCATGCTTTGGTATTGATATCTATAGATAGATATTAATGAAGTGTTTCAAACTGATAGAACAACTGCGTACAGTTTTTATTTATTGCAGACTGCTGTTGATACATGAAAACATCTTTGTAGCCCATATGTATGTAATTCACGAATAGAGAAAATTCATGATTTTTTTTTTAGGAAATGAAACTTTGGGTAAAATTGACTATTTCAACACACTAGACTTAGCTGAATTATTTGTAGGCTAGAGAATATCAACAATATTTTGTAAGGCATCAAATATACCAGGTATCCGGAAATTTTGTTAACAATATTAGATATCTGTGTGCTCCAGACAAGAGTTTCTGCCAAAGAAGCTACTATAATTTCATTAGACCAACTGAGGTACATTAAAGTAAACATGAAATATTGTGATTTCGCGACACGAGACCAACAGGAGTTTTACATTTTTTAGATTATAAATAGTTGGAACTGGAATTTTGAACTTATAAGTCATTTTGTACATACTTAATTTAAACGAACAGGTTTTTGAACCGAATAACGGAATTAACTGTCATTTTCATAATGCATCAACAGCTGAAAATGTAGAGCTTGTTCAACGGAATCATACCCAAAACTTCAGACCAATCGATCTGCAGCCCAGAATACTAACTACCGATCTTATCTCCCCTGGGATCCAAATATTCCTTCACGTGTTTGCTTTTGCTAAGAATGATTACCCACGAGAGGAAGGTGGCTGACGTTTGAGTGCTTCCTAGACTGGGTACAGTACGAATTGTCATAGCCTTTGACCTTGAATTTCTGTAGATAGAGCGGTCTCTCAGACTCAGTCAGCTGGTCAAAAGCAGCCAGGGTCAACTCAGCATCTTAAACTCCTCTAGGGAAGTGATTGACAAATCTGATCTTGGTATTCCAGAATAATATACCTTTTTTCTTTCTTTCTGATCTATGGAACCAAGATGTTACAACTATCAAATGGATCCTTGCCAATATCAAGGCAAAATCTTTAAATTGTTCAATATATGCCTTAAATTTATAATCCTTCTACACATTTTAACTGCTGGTGATGTGATCCTTGTAAGACTTTCTGTTGGGGATCCCTTTCCTGTACACGCTGTGTTAGTAAAGACCACAATATGAACTAGGTGTCAACTGGAAAGGATCACAACCTCTTTACTCACTTGGAAGGATTAAAAGGAATTACAGTTTTAAAACTAAAACATACCTTATATACATATGAACTGAAGAGCCATGTTACACAATGATCAGGCCTAACTTTGAACTGCTATCTAGAAAAATTCCAGCCACCTAGCTACACGTGCCACCACAAGGTGTTTTTTCTGGCTCTTTGAACCACTTAACGTGATTCACTGTCACTGTTATAAACTACCCACAGCTAAAAGTAAAATATGTGTGTTCAGTGGCGCCACGTCTCGAATACTGAGCTTTCTTATTCGAGGCCCAAAACATTAAACATTATGCCATATTTGGTCTGGAAGTGCAGCATTACAAACTGTCAAGCAACATACTTATATTATGACATACAAACTTGGAACAATGCTATTGAAGCAGATTTAGGCTTACGCTGCGCATTCCACCATTTTGGTTGAGATAAAGAAATATATATCGTCATCACAACCTTTGTTTCTTGCACTACTTAAAGGCAATTTTTTTGACAACATCTATTTCAATTATGACACTGTTGTGATATCGATTTGCGGTGTAATTGTGTTAAATGCTCAATATGCACAGCCGCGACATCTATAATGACAGTTGAATTTCATATGATATTCAGTTTACCTCTAAAAATTCTGAATGAACACTTGTGCTGGTCTTTCTCTATCTTTGCATGGACAATTTTGACAGTTGTTTTCGTAGGGATTGTAGGAATTCCAGAATGATTTATTACAAGTCCAACGTATTATTGGTTCTTGAGTCGCAATAATAAGTCGGACACACCTGACTGAAAGTTCAGACTTTTTTCACGAATAGTGCTCGAGCTACCCTTTCTTTATTACTAATTTTTATGGATGGCTCCAAATGAAGTGACTTGGCAGGCTCAGTTTTGGTTGTTTATAATTTTGCAGTTAACCACAGGAGTTCTTTTACGTTTCTGTTTTCACTAAATAGTCATATATAATAATTATCTTGCCTTGGATCGCACAGAGACTAAATAGTGGTGTTAGTGTGCCACTTATATTAACGTGCTAAGTTAGTGTCAGCCCTATAATTGATTAATGATAATCCTAGACCATATCCAGTTCTTTCTCAGTTTCGCAAGAATTTGGCCGCTTTATCCTCACAGTCCTTTGTAGTAATTTGTTTCTGTGTTAATTAGTGATACCGACAAGTTAGCCTCATCTATTGAAATCAGGAAGAATAGTAGGCTAACGATTTTTTCAAGCTAACCCATTGGTGGAGTAATGGCTACCTAGCTTACCTAGGTCTCTTAGCAACACTTCACATTATATATTGCTTTTAACTTACCAATACCTATCACTTGGCAGTACTTTCCTGATCTTCATCCATTTTTTTCTTTGCCCATCACTTTGTATTTAGCGACGACAATATTTTAGACATGTTATGTACCCTTTACTTTGCACAGTGGAAAGCTGCGACGCTGGTTGGTTTTGAAATAATACGTTATATTTTCACTCAAAGCTCATTTACTATCAGACAAACAATTGAGTGTAAAATAGAGCGTTACATTATTACAAAAGCTATTAAAAGATATATAGCTAACACTGTATGTTTTTCTTTGAGGTGAAAATCATAATGATATATGATAATACAAAGTCCTACTCATTATCTTATGTTTATCACACAGCTCTATTTTTGCTGGGCAGAGCGTAGCCTAGTGGTTAGCATGCTTAGACTGTAAATTCGAGAGATTTTGGTTCCACATTTGTTGCCGCAAAAACAAACTCCGCACTTTGAGGCCGGATGTGTGGTATAATAGCAACAGTCAAGTCAGACAGTAGTAGCCCAACGGAGGGCGAGGATGCTGTTGAATAGCTGTCTTCTACCTAGCTTATCATTTAAAAATTAAGGACGGTTATGCACTGCTAGCATTTTGTGTAAGTTAGCGTGGAAATTCGGAAAAAATCGTTTAAAGAAAAGTTGTGGACATTAACAGCTCGTCGAAGGCTTTTTGTAAGAACCTGGTTGTCATTGAGAATACTAGTTTATTAAATGGAAGATTTATTGTCTAACATTATTTTGGGAAAGGTATACAATTTAAGATAATTGTTTATAATCGTCTGTATACATCAGTAATGAAACCACAACCAGTGTTTGACTTTCAAACACTCACAAACTAAAGTAAGCTAGTAACTCGTCTTACGCTCTTAGTGTTGCCTTTACTTTGTTTATACAACTCGTCGATCTTGGGAGAATACAGCCTTCATTAATGTTTATTATTTCAGGCCTTTAAATAACTTTCGTATGGAGAACGTTCTTATCACTTCGTTCGTTCAGGAATCTTTATAGCCAACTAAGTTTTGACGATGATACACGAAAGATAAGTACTTTATTGCCATATCAGTTGCTAAATCTACTACACATGAAAAAATGTGCGAATATCCCAGCAAGCTTCTTTTCCACCATAGTAATGAATGCACAGGTTACTTCTCTTTCAATTCTCCTTGATCAAATTGTTTTTTAGGAAACACGATCTATGTATGAAAATATAGTTCTGGATCAAGTCACGTCACTAAATGCAAGTTTAATGGTACATATCCGGTATTTCACATGTAATCATGTCGTTATGATATTTATGAAATAAATAACTGTTTTAACTGCAATTACAAAATATTAAGTAAATGTAACACAAGTGCAAGAGATAGAGACACATATTTTACTCAAAGTCCCTAGTTCCTATAGTTGGCCGTTTTTGGGACGGGTATGTAACAACCCTTTTCGACACAAAATATCCATGAACTCAGATCATAAAGATGTTTTTTGATCGGGAATTTAGAATTTTTTAAGACGGGGATATACCTTATACTTGATGGGATTGAAAGGAATATGGATTAATTTGGAAACCAGGATCATCTAGGAAGAGACCTGCAACAAGTCGTACCCCAGCCGTAGTAAGCAAAATGCTGCAGCTTGTAACAGGTGAGAATCCATGAGTACAAAGATAGTAGCAAAAGCCGTCCAAGTGCCTCCGACAACAGTAAGAAACATGATTAGGAAGAATCTCCATCTGGTAAAGCACGAAAGTCACGTGCACACAAGTTGTTTCCACGATATATCCGTTCAACCGTCGCTTACCTCAAGCTGCTAAGAATGAAGACGTACCAGTCAAATGATCAGATGGATTTCTGTGCGATCAGACTGTTGAAATGGGCACTGGAAAACCACCGTCTTAGTAGGCTGGATGGATTATGGAACTATATGGAGGAGGGGTACGTTTGAACATGACTTCCTTACGACGAAGCCTTTTGCAATGGAAACTACTCAGTAGATCAAGACGCATGTTCGTCAGACAGAGCATGACTGGTCTGGCGACATGGACTATAACAATGTGGTGAGGCTCCAAAATTACTTTAATATAATCTATTCAACCCTATGAGTTTGTGCATAATTACCATTTGAAGCAGCTAGTCAACAGTACCCACTGCTAACCCTTTTCTGACAAAATAGTGCACCGACAACCCAAAATTTGGAATGAATATTTTTATAATGAGACGCGAACCATGAATCTTCGGACTCACTGCTCTGGCACTCTAGTTATAATGCCCCGTTTGGTTCAATTATCTTTAAACTTATTGAAAATATAGTTTCTGATTATTTTTTTTTCGCCTTCTCAACTACAGCCTAGTGATTACTGTGATGTTATGGATTAAAATTATCTTTTCATGCCTAAATGACTAAAACTGTTTGATATAACGTTTTATTTATCTGCAATTAAACATGGTGTTACGGTGTTGTGGGCCATGCAAGTTTATCATAATTTTGGTCATTACACAAAGAAAAAGAAGAAATAAAATCGTCCAATGAGAGAATCAGTTTTAAGCACAAATAACATATGTTTTGAAATATGAAGAGCTGTATTGAGCTGTTTATCAATTAACAAATATTTTGACTGGAGGATAGGAGAGTGACTTTCTGAGAAGAAGATAAATTTCTATACCAAGAATACATATAACAGGAAGAAACAACAGATTACTGTAAGAGTTAATCTGAATTAATTGTTATTTGGTAAAAACAGATCAAGTGCATGTAACTGAATATTGAAATCAAACAAAAAAAAGACGACATGGAGTAGTGAAGTTCTCTTATATTGTGGTAATCAAATACGGTCATTACTGTGGTAATCAATTACGGTCATTACTGTGGTAATCAAATACGGTCATTACTGTGGTAATCAAATACAATCATTACTGTGGTAAACAAATACAGTCATTACTGTGGCAATCAAATACAGTCATTACTGTGGCAATCAAATACAGTCATTACTGTGGCAATCAAATATTGTCATTACTGTGGTAATCAAATACAGTCATTACTGTGGCAATCAAATACGGTCATTATTGTGCTAATCAAATACGGTCATTACTGTGGCAATCAAATACGGTCATTACTGTGGTAATCAAATACAGTCATTAGTGTGGCAATCAAATACATTCATTAGTGCGGTAATTAAATACGGTCATTACTGTGGCAATCAAATACAGTCATTAGTGTGGCAATCAAATACATTCATTAGTGCGGTAATTAAATACGGTCATTACTGTGGCAATAAAATACGGTCATTACTGTGGTAATCAAATATTGTCATTACTGTGGTAATCAAATACAGTCATTACTGTGGCAATCAAATACATTCATTAGTGCGGTAATTAAATATGGTCATTACTGTGGCAATCAAATACAGTCATTACTGTGGCAATCAAATACAGTCATTACTGTGGCAATAAAATACGGTCATTACTGTGGTAATCAAATACGGTCATTACTTTGGTAATCAAATACGGTCATTACTGTAGCAATCAAATGCGGTCATTACTGTGGCAATCAAATACAGTCATTACTGTGGCAATCAAATACAGTCATTACTGTGGTAGTCAAATACAGTCATTAGTGTGGTAATCAAATGCAGTCATTAGTGTGGTAATCAAATACGGTCATTACTGTGGCAATCAAATACGGTCATTAGTGTGGCAATGAAATACGGTCATTACTGTGGCAATCAAATACAGTCATTACTGTGGGAATCAAATACAGTCATTACTGTGGCAATAAAATACGGTCATTACTGTGGTACTCAAATATTGTCATTACTGTGGTAATCAAATACGGTCATTACTTTGGTAATCAAATACGGTCATTACTGTGGCAATCAAATGCGGTCATTACTGTGGTAATCAAATACGGTCATTACTGTGGCAATCAAATACAGTCATTACTGTGGTAATCAAATACAGTCATTAGTGTGGTAATCAAATACGGCCATTACTGTGGCAATCAAATACGGTCATTACTGTGGCAGTCAAATACAGTCATTAGTGCGGTAATTAAATACGGTCATTAGTGTGGCAATGAAATACGGTCATTACTGTGGCAATCAAATACAGTCATTAGTGTGGTAATTAAATACAGTCATTACTGTGGCAATCAAATACAGTCATTACTGTGGCAATCAAATACAGTCATTACTGTGGCAATAAAATACGGTCATAACTGTGGTAATCAAATACTGTCATTACTGTGGTAATCAAATACGGTCATTACTCTGGTAATCAAATACGGTCACTTTTCTTTTTTTATCTGGCTAGGTTATCGAAGGAATATCAAAGATGACATAATATAGCTAGAGTTTTCAAAAGCTATCAATGATTTTAAAACAATAAGTTCCTAATACAGCAAATGTAATACATTCCCAACAGTATTTTCCAAAACTTCTACATTTTTACATTTGCGCTTATACCTTTAAAAACGTTATTTAAACCACGCATCTAACGGTCTCACCTGGTTAGTCAGGAGGTTCCAAAGAAAAAATACATATGCCTTTTCTTTAGCATAAAGACTCACCGACTTTCTGGCTGAACGGCTTACACAAAATGCTAGATTCCTACTCACACTTGACTAGATCTTACCTTATGTTTTGCAGGTTTACGTTTTTATATTTAATATAATGTGATATATAAAATAAACCTACGGGAATAAACTACTACAACTTTCAGACTGTCGGGAATGATAACAGCTAAAAAAGCGTTATATTTGTCGAAAGTGATGACTTGTAAAATTTCTTGTAATACCGCCATTAATAACCTAGTATTAAAGATTTTTTGAACAGTTTATATGAGTAGGATTGGTGTATTTGTTTATTGTTTATTTGTAATTAAACACAAAGCTACACAATGGGCTATCTGTGCTCTGCCCGCCACGGGTATCGAAACCCGAATTCTAGCGTTGTAAGTCCGCAAACATACCGCTGTGCCATTGGGGGGCTTAGTAGGATTGGCGAGAAATATGTTCAGTCAGAATTAGCTAATCGTATTTTTCTTCTTTTATATAAAGATTAAGCTAAACGAAACTTCTACGTAGGTCCTACCAAAGAATATCTATAGTGAAGTGACCTTGAC